GCCCAGCAAACTTTCTGAAAATACAGTGATAATTTTTTTTTGCTTTGTCATTCTCTTGAAACTAGTATTTATAAAGTGGCCATGTAATTTGTCATCCTGCCTAGGAAACCTTCATGAAATGAGGCTCTATTAATAATTAAACCAAAAAAATAAGGTAAAGTAGGACTGTCCCCTGCAAACCATGAAGTATGGTTACCCTTTATCTTTGACACATTAGTACTATTTTGTAACTGTTTTGTGCATGATTATAAATTTCTGCATGATTATAATTCTATTGTCTATTTAGCTAAAATGTAAACTCTTTAACAGAAGTGATTATTTGTTTCATTTCTATTTTCCATAAGACTCTGCTCACTAACAGGAAAAATTTCATGTCAGAACCCCAGTAATTTATCCTACAATTTGGAGCTGGTATTTATAATTAAAGATACCAGAAAGTAAAACTATTAACAAAGACCAAAAATTAGTTTCATCAACTGTTTTAATGATGGCCATGGCATAATTTATCTTCCCCTCATATACGTAAACCTGGATAAAGATTGCTTTAAATCAGTGAAAACTGAATATGTAGTAACAGTTTTGAGAAGCTAAAATTTTAATATTAGGAAACATTTATAAACATTTATTTTGCACTATATACCTGCCATTGTAGTAGTATTATCTGCATTTTACAGGTGGGGACCAAAACTCAAAGATGTTAAGCCATTTAGTCCCAAATTCAGGCAAAGTGTTAGAAGTGCATGGTTCCTGAAGCCTCAGCTTTCTGCCTGAAAAAGAAGAACCCCAAAGAAAGGGAAAGTACCATGGAGACTGTAGAGAGGGAGGAGCTCAGGAAAGTGACCCCACTGAGTACATTAGGCATGAATCTGATCCTAATCAGCATATTAAAGACTTTGAGAACTTAACTAGCAGATAGATCACTGCCCAGGTCCCCAACTAGCTACTGGGTGATGAACACATGGGACAGATCAAATTACACAATGGCAAAGGATTTGGAAAATGAACTGATATTGAAACCACAGACCACAGAAGGTGTGTTGGAATATGAGGCATTGAGACAGGAAGGGAGCAGGGCACAACCTTATAAAGAATGACGGCCATTGAGGATGTGACATAAACTGGTTAGCACAAACTAGGTCCAAGATGGCAGATGACTGACTTCCACTAAACCTTGAGCCTCAGTATATGCTCAGTGTAATACGTCAGCAAGCTAAATGACACACCCACAGGTGCCATGACAGTTCCAAGGCCCACCATAAAATGCCAAAAAATGGGCGGTGGCCCAATTCCCGGAAATCCCCGCCACTTCCCCAAAATAGTTGGAATAATCCTCCCACTCATTAGCCTATGAAATTACCCACCGCTATAAAACCTGACAACCCCATACCCTTAAGCCTCTGGCCTTCTGAGATGACCCACATTCAGTGTATATCTCCCTGCATAAGCCTTCTTTCACTTTACTATGGCTCGCTCTTGAATTATTTCCTGCACGAAGCCAAGAACCCACACTTAGCAGCTGTCCCAGGGACTTGCCTGAGACCTGGGACGGGACGTGACCATCCTCTTGTGCCCCACTTTCTTTCCTGCAACAGTATGAATTAACCATATTGACTACCTATTAAAACAATGATCTCCATAAGAGCTAAATAAGATTGTCATAATATTCAAATGTCTAGGATAGAATCCAAAATTACATGGTATGCAAAGAACCAGGAAAACCTCAATTTGCATGACAAAAACAATTAACAGATGCCAATACCTAAATGACAAAGAATAATATCTGAAACTTTAAACCAATATTATACAAATGCTCTTGCAAGCAACTGTGAACACTTGACATGAATGGAAAAACAGAAAATCTCAAAAAAGAGAAGATATAAAGAAGAACTGTAAGCAAATAGGGTAGGGGGTCCTTGGAGAAAGAGAACCAGGCCTGGCTTGGCTATTTTGGCGTAAGCCATTTTGTGATCTAAGCCTGGTCACGAAGCTTGCCCTCGAACAGGTCTCAGTAATTAATGATATTGAGGGAATTCAGGAACAATGGAAAAGCAGTCAAGAAACAGTTGTTCAGTGATAAAAAGTCCTAGTTCCTCCCCAAGGGGTGTACATAACAATCTGATACGTATCCTCTGATACATATCTGGTACAAATCCTTTCCGTGTCCCCCATTTCTTGTTTGTAGGAAATAGGCTTCATTCAGCCTCCTGACCTTCCCTGAGTTCCAAAGGGCAGTTTCAAACTGCTGCTTATCAGGGAAGGGGAGGGAAAGCAGAAACAAAGGGGGAGCAGTCAAGAAACGATAGTGCAGCTGTGGGGCAGGGTCCTGGTTTCTCCTCAAGGAATATAACAATATCTTTGAGTTCTGTAGGAACTATGGCCCCCACTCGGGTGGAGAATGGTAACTTAAGGCTGAGCACAAGATTCCTTGAACACGGCTGTTACCTCACCATCGACCAATCAGAAGAAAGTCTGCACATGGGAAGTCTGATCCCTCTTCCCCAAATGATTCTCCCTTTAAAAACTTTCATGGTCAAGCAGAATCTTCAAAGTTGATTTTTGGACACCAGTCCGTCTTCTCCACAGATTGCTGACTTCCTGAATAAAGCAACTCTTCCTTTCCAACCAACACTCTCATCTCTTGAGTACTGGCTTTCCAGCGGCGAGCAGCAGAACCTGAGTTCGGTAACACCACCACCTTCCTCCTGGAAGAAGCTGGAGATTAAGTTAATAATTGATCATGCCTATATAATGAAGTCTCCATGAAAATCCCTGAACTGTGGGCTTTGAAGAGCTGCCAGACTGGTGAACAGACTCATGTGCTGGCAGGGTGGTACAACCCAAATCCATGGGGACAGAACCTCCTACACTTGGAACCCTTCTGGACTTTCCTGATGTCTCTTCATCTAGCTGTTCATCTATATCTTTATTATGTGATAAACCAGTAAACACATTTCCCTGAGTTCTGTGAGCTGTTCTAGCAAAGTATCAAACCTGAGGTGGTAACTGTGGGAATGCTGAATTATAGTCAGCCAGTCAGAAGAGTAGGTGACAACCTGGGACTTGCAATTGGCATCTGAAGTGGGGGCAGCACCATGAGACTGAGCCCTTAACTTGTGGGATCAGATGGATAGTGTCAGACTGAACTGAACTGTAGGACACCCAGTTGGTGTCTGCAGAATATTGCAGCATTGCTTGGTGTAGGAAAACCCACACATCTGGCATCTTAAGTATTTTGAGTGTGAGTAAAGGAAGAAATAGTGTTTGTTTTCCTTTCAGTGGACACGGTTAAGTAGTGGCATAGGTAAATAACATATCCAGAGTAGAATACGAAAGAATGAGCAGGTGCTGTGACGTACTGATGGGGAAAAATCTGTAAGATATAAGATTAAGAGAGAAACAGATGCATAGTTGCATGTCTATGTACAGATTGGTTGGCTACCCTGGGGACAAAGGTGAGGGTAGTTTCATTATGTACCATTTTATAAATCATGAATTTTGCATCATGCATTATACTACTGATGTATACATTATAGGCAAATAAAATTTAATAAAAATAATAAACATTAAAACATTATCTGTTAATTGCATAACATCTTTAACTCGTTAAAGAAAAGGCCTAAAAACAGCCCTACGTACACATACAAAAGAGAGCTAATTTTACCTTTTAGTTATGTATCTCAAACCAAAAATGTTTCCAGTATTAGACAGCTATTAGTATGGTATGGAACTGGACTCTATGGCACTATAAATGTGACCTAGGAAAGAATGCTATGACATTTACATTAAAAAATTGATCTGAAAAATAAAGATGGAAAAATTCTTCACAAAAACTTGACTCCAAAAGTGTATGCTACTTGCTATATGTCATTACCTTGGAAAGATCTGAAAAACAAACTCTTTAGTTTTGAAAAACTAGCCAAAATTAATGTTTCACCTGAACCACTGGTTCTCAATCTTTTTTTTTAAAGGAAATTTTCATTTATTTATTTGGCTGCGTTGGGTCTTCATTGCTGCACGCGGGCTTCCTCTAGTTGTGGAGAATGGGGGCTACTCTTTCTTTTTTTTTTTTTGCGGTACGCGGGCCTCTCACTGTTGTGGCCTCTCCCGTTGCAGAGCACAGGCTCCCGACGCGCAGGCTCAGCGGCCATGGCTCACGGGCCCAGCCGCTCCGCGGCATGTGGGATCTTCCCGGACCGGAGCACAAACCCGTGTCCCCTGCATCGGCAGGTGGACTCTCAATCACTGCGCCACCAGGGAAGCCCCAGGGCTACTCTTCATTGTGGTGTGCGGGCTTCTCATTGCAGTGGCTTCTCTTGTTGTGGAGCACGGGCTCTAGGCACGCAGGCTTCAGTAGTTGTGGCACACGGGCTCAGTAGTTGTGCTCGCAAGCTCTAGAGCACAGCCTCAGTAGTTGTGGTGCACAGGCTTAGTTGTTGTGTGGCATGTGGGATCTTGCCAGACCAGGGCTCGAGCCCATGTGCCCTGCACTGGCAGGTGGATTCTTAACCGCTGCGCCACCAGGGAAGCCCTCAATTAATCCTCTTATGGAAAACTGGTGTGCTTCCAATTGCACAGTTCCTAGGATACTGTAGGTGCGTGGTCAATGTTGAATGCATGGATTAACTCTTCAATGTCTCATTTAGAGTCCTGTTCTAAATTAATAAATTTAAAAAATTTCTCTTTGTAGAACAATTTATCACACCAAAAGAACATACTCTTAGTATTTTGGTATTAGTTCCTTTTAGTTTTTTCTTATATTACCAAATAATAGTTTTATTAATTTTTAATTGCTATGTAATATTTCATCACACTCTTATAAGCCATAACTGATCTAACCATATACTTATTGTATATTTAGCCTGACTTGATGTACTCTAAGTTAAAATTAAAAAGTCAAGATTGCAAAAATGAACATTACATGTATTTTGTTACTCTAAAGCTTGATCATGGCCTAACAAAAAGTTAATATATACCATTTAAACAAACCACTAACAAAAATCCAGCAACATCAGTAACAGTTCACTGATTTTATTAGATGAACAAACATGTCCATATAATCAATGAAAACCATAGGATATATAAAATAATTTAAGAAACGTTGGGAATTAGCAGCACCATCTGTTATTGACATAGCAAGAAAAACTTCACATATTTTATGCAAACACTAGAAGAGGATATAGCTACTTTTAAGACCTACTAATGCCACTGAATGTCTGGGATGATTGAGAAGGGCATCTTTTTAGGCAAACCTACCTCCTTCTACTTCAAAGATTTGGTGAGCAAATCTGATGATTAATGTTCAGAAAAAATGCTACTGAATGAAATAAGAGATACTGCATAGTATTTTAATTAGGACAAGGAGACTGAAACCCAGCTGCTTTTGCATGGCTCAACACTTCTGCTTCTATGAAAAATTTAGTTCTGAATTATGAAATCAGAAATAAAGAATAATTTTTAAAAGACACTAGTTGTCTCTAAGAAACATTAAGTGGAACACAGGTCACTATGAAAATACATCACTTTTCCAGTTTGCTTCATAATTTACTTTAAAAAGTTGTGTAGTTTTCATCACAAGTGACTTATACAAATTTCTTAATAAGCATTTTTAAAAGTTTAAATGTATTTCTAAAATCGAATAGATTCTTTTGATTTTTTTTTTAAACCTTTAGCCCTGTTGTTACATTTACTGTGTATCAGAGTAAGAGACTGAGTTTGTGTGAAGGATACAAATTTACACACATTTTATAGCAACTTATACCCTAACATCTACAAAATTCACATTTATAATACAAGCAAGTACCAGGCCAGGATAAAACTGTTGAATTCCAAAAAGTCAAACTGTATACTATTTTTATTTTGTCCCCTTAAAAAAAGTTCAACTTCGGCACCAAATTCAAAAAGCCCTCTTAGATGTTTGGAAAAAAAAAAATTCCAGATATATTTCAGCAAACACAAACAGTTTTTCTGTGCTGATGAAGTAAAGGATTTCCAATTTTCTTCTGGCCCCTAAGTCTGCGCCGCACGGTAAGTTTAACAGAGTTCTTTCGCTGTGCGTTTGTGGGGAGGCTTGCAGGCTGAGCACCGCTACTTCGACTTAAACCATTCCGTCTATGCTTCTTCACAAGAGGGCCAGAGTTGGATTCTTCTAATGTCCTTTTGAAGTTTGTTGGAGGGGTTCTTTCAACTTCTTGAGCTTTCATTTGACCTGGGATCGACATCTTTAAATTTTTTTGGTCCATGATGGTGTTTGTTGAATTGGTAGGCACAAGGCCAACTGACAGGCTGTTATTCAAAGAATCATGTATCCTTAAAGTCAGGGCTTTAGTGCAATTTTCTTCAAGTGCCTCTGGATCTTTTGAGGATACGACTGCAGCCTGGACATTCCCTCGAGCTATCTCAGCTGGGACTTCTAAATAATTCTCTGAGAAGGCATTACTACGAATAAGGGCAGGTATGTGGTCCTTAGAGTTCAGCCTTGGCCATGGGTCCTCCTCCAGTGACTGAAAAACAAGAAGGTAAACCAAGTAAGAAATAATTTATCCTAGAATTCAGCTTAACCATTGGGGAAATGAAAAGATTTCATTAGAATAAGTGACAAATTTGTTTATTTGGGGGTTTATTTCCTACTTTCTATATTTTAATTTCTGAATATTCAGTAGTGTGGAAAATGTGAAGCGCAACATTAAAGCAACTCTGTCATAATGGAAATTCAGACTGTTGCTTTGCACCCATCTCCCAAACACTAGATGCTGTTCTGTTATTTGAGAAAACAGGACATATGGGAATGTACTGAGTATGGCTGGGGCAACTTTCAAAGATATAAGTGAGGGCTTCCCTGGTGGCGCAGTGGTTGAGAATCCACCTGCCAATGCAGGGGACACGGGTTCGAGCCCTGGTCTGGGAAGATCCCACATGCCGCGGAGCAACTGGGCCCGTGAGCCACAACTACTGAGCCTGCGCTCTAGAGCCCGCAAGCCACAACCACTGAGCCCACGTGCCACACCTACTGAAGCCCGCACGCCTAGAGCCTGTGCTCCGCAACAAGAGAAGCCACCACAATGAGAAGCCTGCGCACCACAACAAAGAGTAGCCCTGCTCACTGCAAAGAGAGAAAGCCTGCGCACAGCAACGAAGACCCAACACAGCCAAAAGTAAATAAATAAAATAAATTTATTTTTTAAAAAAAGATATAAGTGAAAATCATATGGAAACTTTCAGGTATTGTTTTTTAAAAAGCTTCACAGGAGGTTCAGATATGCACCACTCCTTTAGGTGTAGTGCCTCAGATCTATATGTATTCAGAATATCCTCCCATCTCCAGATAGATAAGAACATTCTTCCTATCAAATACAAATCTTGCACTATAATATTTTAGAAAGTCATTGCTTTAATACTTTCTCAAGTACAAATTTTAAGCATAAATACTATCTCTTGCCCAAGCATGTAACATTTTCCTCAATCATTTCCTCTCTCAATCAAATCAAATTTATTAAAATAGTAATATAATCTGAAGAACGCAAGTAAACCATTTTGTAGAATGGTAAACAAAGACATATTATCTGGTCGCCCTCTGATATAAAATCTCCTAGGAATAAACGCCTTTCGAGAAAGTGCTCTATAAAAAAGCATATTTATAAAACTAATGTTCCCTTTAATGTTTCTAGATTTAAAAAGAAAAAGGCAAATTGAAGCAATCAAAAGCATTTCAATTTAACCATGTAACACGAACATGCTTTACTGAAAAAAAATGAACTTTAGGTCCAGTGGAGGCTAGAGATGAGAAACCCTAAGTTCCTAGTTTGGTACTGCCCCAAATAGAATGCTGCTACCTTTTTTTTAAAAAAAACTAAGAATATATTCTTCCTTTCTGGAGTCATTGGCTCATTTATTTATTTTATAGTACATGGTTTACTGAAAGCCCAATTCTTATCTGTTTTAACACTGACTAGATGTTGGGCAGCAACCTTATTTCAAAATACCAGTGTTGAGAATGGATAACAGGACAGTCTCTGTTCTAGAATATTTACATCTGGCTTTCAATGATATCAACAACAACTTGTCTGTGAATTTATCCCCTCTGCATTAGGTTGATTCCAATGCCTACTACCCTGATCACAAGCATGTTCTGACTGACCACAGAAAACTAGTCATTAGTAATTTCTGACTAAAAGGTCATCTTGGTTTAATATAGAAAAAGGATTTGCAACAAGACCAGGCAGCAGATAAATTCTGTAGACAGAAGGCTTCCTACTACCAAACAAGCACATCACTAATTTAGGCACAAGAAGAAAGGTACTAATCAAGCCACTTACAGAAATAGAACATATTGCTCTAGTTTATGCAACAATGTTAGACATTAGATGGAATTCCTTTACAAAAGAAAAACAATGGGATAATGTCAGAGTTAACACAATTTATTGTAATTTCTGTTGTGCTGTGTCTTTTTAAATTCACAAATTATTATTCTGATACTACAGGTGCACTGGCACTTTTTCCTTGAACTTTTCCTTCTCTTTTTATTGGCATTCTGTGGAAATACATTGCATCTGTTAGCTCAGGCAACTGCCTAGACTTCCTAGACTCATCCCAGATTAATGACTACTGTATTGCTAAGCCTTCTTACATGCTCATAAAACACTTGTGATATTGAGAAGTTACATCCTAAAAACTCACACTTTAAAAGTTTCACTACTTCAGAGATCAGCTTTCTTGAGAGCTCCATATATTTTACAATCCAACAGTAAACAACTAATTACCAATTATGCCTAGAACACAACTGAAACTAAGTGTTAATCCTCTCGAAGAACTCTTTTCCTCATTCCTCCTTCCTATAGCTCTTGGCTTATTTAAAAAACAGCTAAATTTAGTTTTGCCCTAAAGAAAGTATAAAGAAATCTGTGCCATAGTAATATATCACAAACAGAAGTATTTCTACTATTATCTGTCCAAAAACAAGGATCTGACTACCGATTTAGCTTACGATTCAAACAGAAGTTCACATGTCTATAGATAGATAACCTAGTCTCAAGTGCCTAGTCTAAATGTGGGTAGGTCTTAAAAACCATTCAAAATCAACCAAAATGTCATTTATATCTAGATGTTACTAAACATAGGATTACTGTAACAATGAAATACATCAGAGATACTTGTGAGTAGCCATGGTTAAGATAAACAAACAAAACACAATCTTTGGGGCAGAGCCAACTTGTTAGGCCAGAGCCAACAATACTGATTGTTCTGAATGGCTCTAAATATTCTTTCATATTTAGGTGGGGCCAGATGGTTAACAAACAACCACGCCTACATATAAGTCAGTGCATACATAAATCTCCTAAGCTTTACTTTAGTAAAATTGTTAGATCATTCTTTTTCAGAATTTTAAAATAATTTTTAAAAATTATTTCTAGGTGCAATTTATGTTCAATTTTACTAATGCCAATCCACAGACGGCAATAAGTTTTGAGATCAATATTAAGAGTATTTATTCCTATCACAATATCTTCTATCCCCTCATCCTTACCTCCACCTTAACGCCTCCTTCTCTGTACTGCCTAAAGTTCAGTTATTCAAATACAAACACATTAGGAAACATGAAAGTAATGAATACATTCAAATACAGAAACCAGCAAATTCTCAAATGAACATAAGCTCCTTCATAACACTCAAAGAGAATGAAGAGACTTTAAAAGATTTCAATCTGCATTATTATTCAAGAGTTTTCAAAGCAAAGAAAGCTTTGACAAGAAATTCTTTTAAGAAAATAAGCATAAAATATTAATTTGTCAATTTCTAAATGAAGAGTCCATGTAAGGAAAATTAAGTTGCCATATATATAGTGAAGTAAAAGATAGGAAAGTGGTAATAGTAAACTTCCAAGTACTCCATATAGGATCACAATACCCCAAATTAAATAAATTCTTTGTACTGTGTAGCTTTGAACATCTTAAAAAACTGCCTGAATACATGACATAAAATTCCGCTGTGTTTCCCATTTTATTGGTCATTCTTCTGAAAGCATTCTCAGAAGGCCAGGTATATCAAAATAGTTATCCATATTACTAATTATTAGCAGGAAAAAATTGGGATGAAATCAGAAAAAGGGAAATACAGTAGCATTTAAACTTGTTTATTTCACAGCACATCTTAAATTCATTCAATATTAACATGGATAAGAAATAGGAATGATGTTTCTTATCCATGTTAATAGACAACCCGTTCTAAAGTCTGATATCCTAAGGTCCAGTTCAGTCTTGATTCTGTATGATCTTATTCAAACTGCTCAATATCTCAGTTATATTATCTATAAAATGGAATAACATCTGCACTATTTAGCTTTCAGGGTTATGAGGTTCAAATGAAATACCACATATGGAAGTGCATCACACAAAATGCTTACAAACTTTCATACTATCAGAAGGGGAGCAATAAGTTCCAAATATTAATATTGTTAACATTCTTCAGGGGCCATATCTAATCACTTTTCTATTAGGTGCTCTACATACAGCTGGCATTCAGTATAGTACCTATGTGTAGATGGCCTACTGACAGTAAGTTACATGGCAAAGATCTATCACTTTCTTGACGGTAGCTCAAATCTGAAATTCTATTATATAAAGAATCTGAAAACTGTTTTCAGGTAACACTAACAGAGATATTCTGTTACAACTTAAATTCTAGAGAACTGTGTACCTTGACTGGTGGTGTAGAACACGGAGAAGAAGTCATCACGCAGGTTTCTTGACTATTGTAGGAAGGGCTATCAGTCAGGTTCAGATAGAGCTCGTCTTCATTGGTGAAATCTCCCTGAGTGCCCACTCCTGGAGAGATGCAGATTACTATGGCACTAGTATTATCCGCTCGAAGCATACGCTGCCTCCAGCGGCCTAGAGCTCGATTCACAAGCATTTTGGCACAAGACTGTCCATGCTCACCCTGTATTTCAAAGAATAAGAGGAAGATAACAACTCAGACCTTGTTGCCACTACACCTGTATCAAGTGAAAAATCACGTGTTCAACATGGCCTACATAAACAATTAAAATTTCAAACTTTATCCACAAACCCCATAACTATGCTAACAGTATTGCTCTGAATTAAAAAAATAATAAGACAAGGTCTTATCCTGTGGTTAAATTTCACCTGTATTTTTATCTTTTTGGTAGCAAACTTGGTCTTCATTGTAAACTTACTTAGGAAAAGTTATACAGAAGTTATCTAAAAAGGGGAAGTAAATATCAAGTTGTAATAGATAAACAAATCACAAATGAAATAATCACAGATGGCAAAAATACTCATTGCAAAGGGCCAATTTCCTCCTAAAATAAGAGCTTCTGCAAATCAAAGACAATCCCAACATAAAAACTGTCAAAGGATATGAACAAAATTCAGAGACAAGGAAATAAAAGTGGTCATTAAATATATGTATACATATTGGCATATATATATACATACATAGATATATGTATACATATTGACATATATATATACATACATAGATAAATGTATATATATTGACATATATATACATACATAGATACATACACACATAGCCATTTATAGATATATAAATGGCTAATGTCACTCCTATGAAGAAAAAAGCAATACAATAAGTGGTTATAGTATAGAGATCAAATACATACAAACAGAAAGAGTAAAAAACAAAACAAAACAAAATTAAATGAACTTGTGTTATACAAATAAATGTGGCTTGGAATAAAACTTACAGCATCATACATGGATTTAATAACTGCTAAGTTTGAAAGAACAGAAAATGATGTGCTCCAGAAAAGAATTACTTATCTTAAAAAATACTTCTAGAAATAACTGAATAATGAAAATGAGTGGAAATGTTTGAAAAAGAAATGTGTCATGAACTATAAGGGGAAAAAAATGTTAATTGATGTTATTTTATGTAATGTAATAAAATATACTAATGTCACAGGGAGCTCAGCTCGGTGCTCTGTAGTGACCTAGATGGACAGGATTGGGGGGTGGGAGGGAGGTCCAAGAGGGAGGGGATATATGTATACATATAGCTGACTCACTTCATTGTACAGCAGAAACTAACACAACATTGTAAAGCAACTATACCCTAATTTTAAAAATGCATATATTAATGTATTATAAGTACAAAATATTAATGTACTATAATGTATACTATGTAATAATATACTACTGTACTATAGGCACTTTATTAAAAAATATATAACGTATATGCCATTTAACTGTCAGCTATATGCCTCAAGTTTATATATTGAAACCGAATAAAGAACTGGGCTTTTTTCATTCTTTCCTTGGGAAACAGGGAATCATTTTTATTCGGGATTGTCTGATCTTGGTCATATTACAGTATTCCAACACATTAATGATGGCAAACTGCAAAAAACTCCTCTCAGCTCCTTTAAAAATCTTAATATTAAGCCATCCTTGCATTCGCAAGAAAAGTACCACTTTGTAAAGATGTTTTTAAACATTGCTTTGTCCCCCCCCTTTCTAATATGAAAAAATATGCACTTCACAATTGATGAAAGGAGGCATTAATCTGTAATTCATGAATCTATTACATTCCCCAGTGTACGTGTTGCACCACTCTCCAAATACTAGCTCACTGAGAACTCACTGAAGGACTCCTTTACCTTTCCCTTTTTCAGTGTGCCTGTTTCCCTCCCAGCAAAGCTCCATAAAAAAGAAATCTACATAAGCCATTTCTACTACCTTACTTGCATTTTCCCTCAGCCCACGGATTCTGTTGATTTGGGCCCCCCTTAATACTGTGTCCTTTTCTTCCACCCTACTGTCTCACTAGGTGATGTCATAAATGGTCACAGCTTTAACTCACGTTAACACTGAACTTAGCATTTCCACGCATTGCCTTTCAGTAACTGCCTACTGAAAATATCTATCTAGATGAACCAAAGGCATGTCCTATTCAACATGCCTATATGAATTATCCCTCCCCCCCCAAAATAATGTGTTTCTTCTTGATAACAGCTTCCAGCCACCACTAAGAAATTTGGGTGTCATAATATTCTCCCTCCTTAAAACCCAAGTTCTGTCAGTTCTACCACTTATGTATTTTTTTTAACGTCTACATTTCTATTTACTTACTTATTTATTTATGGCTGTGTTGGGTCTTCATTGCTGCGTGCGGGCTTTCTCTAGTTGCAGCGAGCGGGGGCTACTCTTCGTTGCGGTGGCTTCTTTTGTTGTGGAGCACCGGTTATAGGTGCGCGGGCTTCAGGAGTTGTGGCACATGGGCTCAGTAATTGTGGCTCGCAGGCTCTAGAGCTCAGGCTCAGTAGTTGTGGTGCACGGGCTTAGTTGCTCCACAGCATGTGGGATCTTCCGGGACCAGGGCTCTAACCCGTGTCCCCTGCATTGACAGACGGACTCTTAACCACTGCACCACCAAGGGAGTCCCATATTTCTTTTTGGCTTGTATGTGCATATGTTTTTTTTTCTTTTTCTTCTTTTTTTTAATCCATTGCTACTTTAGCTCAAGCTTGCAAAAATTTTCATTTGGAACATAACAGCAGCTTCCAGAGAGGAAGCCTAATAGATCCATTAATAAAAATCAAGTCAGGGACTTCCCTGGTGGTCCAGTGGTTAAGACTCTGCACTCCCAATGCAGGGGCCAGGCTTCTATCCCCGGTCAGGGAATTAGATCCCACAAGCCACAACTAGACCGGGTGCAGCCAAATAAATAAATATTTTTTTAAAAATTTAAAATCAGGGGGCTTCCCTGGTGGCCCAGTGGTTGAGAATCTGCCTGCCAATGCAGGGGACACGGGTTCGAGCCCTGGTCTGGGAAGATCCCACATGCCGCAGAGCAACTAGGCCCGTGAGCCACAACTACCGAGCCTGCACGTCTGGAGCCTGCGCTCCACAACAAGAGAGGCCACGATAGTGAGGGGCCCGCGCACCGTGATGAAGAGTGGCCCCCGCTTGCCACAACTAGAGAAAGCCCTCGCACAGAAACGAAGACCCAACACAGCCCAAATAAATAAATAAATAAATAAATAAATAAAATTAAAATCAGGACTTCCCTGGTGGTGCAGTGGTTAAGAATCCGTCTGTCAATGCAGGGGTCACGGGTTTGAGCCCTGGTCCGGGAAGATCCCACATGCCGTGGAGCAACTAAGCCCATGCGCCACAACTCCTGAGCCTGAGCTCTAGAGCCCACAAGACACAACTACTGAGCCCGCATGCCACAACTACTGAAACCCTCATGCCTAGAGCCCGTGCTCTGCAACAAGAGAAGCCACTGCAATGAGAAGCCCATGCACTGCAATGAAGAGTAGCCCCCGCTCACTGCAACTAGAGAAAGCCCGCAACAAAGACCCAAGGGAGCCATTAATTAATTAATTAATTAAACTAAAATCAAATCAGATACTGTCAATAGGAATCAACATGTGAAGAGAGGCAGAGACAGACCTTATAAATATGATTCCATTCATCAAAATTCACCTTCTCTCAGGGATTCTTCACTAATCACTCACTGCTGACACCCATTCTCTTTCATTGCCAACTTTGCATCAGTTTAATTTAGTAAGGGGCAAGATGTTTTTCCTACACCTCCTAATAAATAGAATTCTATATCCATTATCATCTGCCCTCTATTCCACCCTGCCATGAGTATGCTTTCTAAAATGCGTATCTAAAATGCAGCTTTTCAATACTCTCCACTACCTGACTATTAAGACTTAACTTCATAACAGACCATTCAAAACCTTTTTGCCTCCTGTCTTCGAATCACATCAAGTTACTTGTGAAATCTGAATGTGCTGTACTTGTCTCTTCCCTCTGACTTTACACATTCTATTCCTCCTCGCTTCATCTCTTTACCTGGTAAATTCAACTCCACCTTTAAGACCTGCTCAAATACCACTCTCATCCATGAAACTTCCTTAGGCAGTCCTCACAAGTTTCCTATCTTCTCCCTCTCAGTTCTCAACACTTATTCTAAATATTGTTAGATGAATGCTTCCTTCAATACTCATTCTAAAAACACTTAGGTGTTTATGATACTTAGGTTCTCCCAACCCAATAAAACTGGCTTTTGGCCTCATCATGCCACTGGAATGTTTCTCTCTTCCTCTCTCATCATTAAAGAATTCTAAATCCAATAGACATGGGAATTCCCTGGCAGTACAGTAGTTAGGACTCCACACTTTCACTGCCAAGGGCCCAGGTTTGATCCCTGGTAGGGGAGCTAAGATCCCGCAAGCCGGCGTAGCAAACAAACAAACAAACAAAAAATCCAATAGACAAAATAGTCTTTATTTTATTTAATCTTTCTTTTTTTTTGCGGTATGCGGGCCTCTCACTGTTGCGGCCTCTCCCGTTGAGGAGCACAGGCTCCGGACGCGCAGGCTCAGCGGCCATGGCTCACGGGCCCAGCCGCTCCACGGCACGTGGGATCTTCCCAGACCGGGGCATGAACCCGTGTCCCCTGCATCGGCAGGCGGACTCTCAACCACTGCGCCACCAGGGAAGCCCTAATCTTTCTTTTATATCTGACATCACTGACCAAATGCATCATGCTAGCCCCAAGTTTGTAAAATTGAATAGATACATGACTCTTATCTTTAAACAACTCACAATCAAATGGTACTGATAGCTATCTATATATCCTATTTGTAATAATATGGTAAATGCTAAGCAAGGACCATATTCTATTTACCTTTGCTTCCTTTGTACCTGGTGCCTAACATGTTAGTTGAGGGAATGAATGGAGGCAATTTAATACAAGTTCTTTCATGTTGCCTCCTTATCACCCCAAAATATAGCTTTACCATTCCTCCCATCTTAGAAAAAGATAATCTTTTCCAAGGAGCCACTGATTCCAGTTACTTCGATGTGCTCTGGACCTTCATTCCATCAACATCCCTTATTTCTCTTGTTCTGTCAATCTTTCTTGTAAGACTATAAAACTGCTTTCAAGACCCTCACTATCTATTCAAGCTAACAATGGCACATTCCCTTGTCTTCCTGAACACTCACTACCTCTATTTCCTAGGCTCACAAAGTACTGTTTCATCATCACTCCAATCTGCTAGCTAATGCCCTCATCACTTCAACCGAAACTCTTCATCCTTGAAGGTCACTAATAATAAAAGGTCCTAAATGTAAAACCCAATACCCTGTTTTCATCCATCTGCCTCTACTTCTTTGTAGAATTTGACATTGCTGGCTACTACTCCAAAACACTCTCTTTCCTTGCCTTCAATAACACTGCACTTTCCAAATCTCCTTACTTTGTCATTGTTCAGAATGAAGATCAACTTTTAAGCAAGCCAGGAAGGAAAGAAAAGAATTTTCTCATTGACGGTTGTTTCTAGGTTTGCAATTGACTAAAACAATATAGGTGACATAGAGTTGCCATATGACCCAGGAATTCCACTACTAGGTAGATACCTGAGAGATCTGAAAACATGTCCACACAAAAACTTGTACATGAATGTTAACAGCAGCATCATTCAAAATAGCCAAAAAGTGGAAACAACTAAAGTACCCACTGACTGATGAATGGATGGATAAATAAAATGTTATATATCCATCGATGGAAAATTATTCAGTCATAAAAAAGGAATAAAATACTGATACAAGCAACATGAATGAACCTTGAAAACATTATGCTTAAGTGAAAGAAGTCAGACACAAAAAGGCCACATATTGTATAATGTCATTTATATGCAGTATGCAAAACAGGCAAATACATAGAGACAAAAAGAAAATCAGTGGTTGCCAGGGAATAGGGGTGATAGTGAATGACTGCTAATGGTTATGGGGTTTGTTGGGGGCAGTGATGAAATGTTCTGGAATTAGTGGCGAGAGTTACATAACTTTGAGAATATCCTAAGAACCACTGACCTGAATACTTTAAAAAAGTAAATTTTATGGAATGTGAATTATATCTCAATTTATAAAAAGAAGGATCGGTGAGTGTTCCATAGGCCAGGAAGTCAAGGGCTGCTCATAATGAAGTCAGTGGCTGTATGTTTTGTTATCTAGTTTCATTCATCTATTTCCTGTCTTGTTCTCCTAATAAGCTTCAGAAATCTGTATTTTACTTTTTTCTACAGCCAGGGCAAATGCAAAAATCTACTCAAGGTGAACATCCTTAGTTCATATTCAAGACCCCTGACAAAAGTACCAGAACAATGTGTAGATAATAATATCGAATTGAGTTACTTCTCACCATCAAGTATTTTTTCTCCTCTTGGTCCTGGCACATTGAGATGGCATCCTGAGGTGGAATCATATTCCAAAGACCATCACTCCCCAAGATAATATACTTGTGCTTCTGGGGATCAAGAGTGTGGACACTTGTGTCTGGTTCAGGTGACACCACAAACTCACCACTGAAGAAATCATAGCTCCACAAATCACCTGGGGAGCAGGAGGCAGAAAAAGCAAGAAGTATTATTTTCAAGCTAGTAGTATCATATCAACAGATTAAAGAAGAAAATCAACATGTTCATCTCAACAGATGCAGAAAAGCATTTGATAACATTCAAAATCCATTCATGATTTAAAAAAAAAAAAAGACTTCTTAGCAAACTAGAAATTTGAAAAGGTAACTCCCTCATGAACCTGATGAAAGTATGCCTTCTATCACCACTTCTAATTCTATACGAGGGATCCTTCTCAACACAGTAAGATAATAAAAATAAATGATATATGTGAATTGGAAAGGAGAAAATAAAACTATCATTACTTGAAGATAACTTTATTTCTACATGGGAAACCAAAAAGAAATTAGATAAATTATCAGAACAGGAACACTTAGCAAGGTTGTTAAATACAAACCCAATATATAAAAGTCAGCTGTATCTCTATATAATAGCAAGAAATGGAAAATGTAAAATTTTAAACAATTCCATTTATAACAGTGAACCAAATATCAGGTACTGCGAAATTTAATAAAAGGTGTGCAAATCTTTTATGGACAAGATTATACAATTAGATTCCAAAGACTATCTAAATAAATGGGGAAATAAACTATAATCAAAGATAGGAAGAGTTAACATTATGAAGATGTTAATTCTTCCAAAAATAACCTATAATGTCAATGTAATTCCATCCAAAATCCCAAAAGGACTTTTGTAGAATTTGACAAGCTGATTCTAAAACGTATAGGAAGGACCTACTCTATAGCACAGGGAACTCTACTCAATACTCTGTAATGACCTACGTGAGAAAAGAATCTAAAAAAGAGTGGATATATGTATAACTGATTCACTTCGCTGTACAGCAGAAACTAACACAACATTGTAAATCAACTATACTCCAATAAAAATTTTAAAAAATATATTTAAAAGTAGAAAAAAAAATGTATGGGGAAGAGCGAAGGGCCAAGATTAACTAAGATAACTGTAAAAAAAGATAAAATGTGGAGACCTTGCTCTACAAATAAGAGTCCTAGTGGCTAACTGAAAACCTCCTGTTAACCCCCTAGGTCAAGAAAATACCTACATCAAAACTGAAAGGATGGGTGCCAGTCACTTGGAAGAAAATTCCAGAGATAAAAATGAGCATTTTTATGCTTTTAACCTACCTAGCCTTTGGAGATCAACGACTAGCCTTTGGAGATCAATAGTTCACCCTTTCAGTGAGCCAGTAAAAGAAGATTCTTAAATAATTATCTTCCTTCTTGATTAGCTCCACACAAAACAATGCCTAACATTTCTGCTTTTTAGACGCATTAGATGTACACCTCAAAATGTTCAACATAAAAGAAGCTTTAGTTGACTCAGGTCATCTAAAAGATCAATAAAACTGAAATAGAAAAAAAAATTTATAGAAACCATCTACTCTTTTGTGATACATAAGATAAATAAGTAGGACAATATAAACTCTTCTGCATCCAAAAACAGGAAGGAGGAGACAAGAAGGAGAAAACATTAATTTCTGCCTCTTTTGTTTGTTGTGAAATGCTTTGGGGAAAGACCTAATTAAGAGCAAAACGTTTTCAGGCAAAAGGATAAATTGTTTTTGCCGCTGTTAAGCAGGTCTGACTTTTGCTAAACAAGAGGAAGCTCTTTGTCCTCCCCTTTCCTTATTTAAAGGTCACCATACCTCTCATCAGAAATACTGGCCAATTCAAATATGCTCAGAGTCCAAGGAAAGAATAATTCAAATCAATTACTCCACTCTGAAATAGCAAAATTCACTGCTAAACCAGCCTCTTGAAAGGGGCAATTCATCCTTCAGAGTAACAAAAGAGAACACATATGACCACTAAAAGCTAATTATAATCCAGGTCACCTCACAAAGACACATTTATTTCTTTATACCAGTAAAACAAAACTCCCTGGTTGATGAAACTATAAAAATGAACATGGATGGAAACAGTTAAGATAAATTTTAAGATAGCAATTACAGGGTTCATATGTGATGCTAAGAGCTTTCAAAAGCAATTTCGCCCCCAATATTTGAAATTAATGTTGCCACTCCAAGTAAAAACATAAATTTATATAAAGCAGAATCCCTAATATGTCTAAACTTAAAATCTAGGTTAAAAAAAGAAATTCCAGTTTTCAATCTAATGCAAACTATATGACCTCAAAGAAGGGTCACAATTTCTCATATATAAACTAACATTAATATTGTTATAAATTTGAAAATATTTTTAAATAAGTTACTTGTTTATTTCACATGGCATGAAAACCAAAAGATACAAAAATCTCCTTTCCCATTCATGCCCTTTCTGGTTCTCCACTTAGGGAACAACTATTGTCCTTATGTATCCTTCTAGAGATGTCTACGGATATATACCCAATATATATGTATACTCCTTCCACAAAATTGTCCTCTCAAGCTCACAACTCCGAAATCACTAGCCCCCAATATGTTGCCAATCTCTTTTTTCTTTCTCACTAAACCTCAATACATTTCCAGAAGAAAGGCGCATTTCTCCTAACTTAAATTTCTGAAACTGTTTTTTAAATTAATTAATTAATTTATTTGTTTGTTTATTTTTAGTTTTTGGCTGTGCCACGAGGCATGGGGGACCTTAATTCCCTGTGAACCTGTGCCCCCTGCAGTGGAAGCATGGAGTCCTAACCCTTGGACCGCCAGGGAATTCCCAAACGCTATTTTTTTTTTTTTCCATAATATTTACTGGAACTTCCCTGGTGTTCCAGTGTTAAGAATCACCTTCCAATGCAGGGGACACGGGTTTGATCCCTGGTCAGGGGACTAACATCCCACATGCTGTGGGGCAACTAAGCCCATGCACCACAACTACTGAGCACGTGAGCCACAACTAGAGAGAAGCCCGTGCGCCGCAACAAGGAGCCTGTGTGCCACAATGAAAAATCCCACGTGCTGCAACAAAAATCCCATGACTAAGACCTGACGCAGCCAAAAATTAAAAAAATATATTTTAAAAAAATATATTATTACCTTATTTATTTAGGCTGCACTGGGTCTTAGTTGCAACATGAGGGATCTTCAGTTGTGGCATGAGGACTTCTTAGTTGCGGCACGTGGACTCTTAGTTGCGGCATGCAAATGCTTAGTTACGGCATGCATACAGCATCTAGTTCCCAGACCAAGGATCAAACCTCAGCCCCCTCTTTGGGAGCGTGGAGTCTTACCCACTGGGATCACTTCAGGGAGAAATGCCATCTTAACAATATTATATCTCCCAACCCAATAACATGGTGTATCTCCTATTTAATCTCCTGAGCATAAGGATATTCTCCTATGTAGCCAGAGTCAGAAAATTTCATGTTGATCCATTATTATGTAATATAAAATCTATGTTCAAATTTCCCCAGTTATCCCAATAATGCCTTTTTTATTTTGGCCACACCACGTGGCTTTCAGGATCTTAGTTCCCCCAACAGGGACCGAACCCAGGCCCCCTCAGTGAAAGTGCCAAGTCCTAACCCCTGGATCACCAGGGAATTCCCCTAATAATGCTTTTTTGATATCCAGGATCCACTCAGGGATCATTCATTACATTCAGTTGTCATATTTTTTAGTTGTTTTTAAGCCAGAACAATTCTTTAGGTTTTGTGATTTGTTTTTGTCATTCATGACACTGACAGACAATTGTCAAAAGAGTCCAGGCCAGTTGTTTGCTGAGTGACCCTCAATTTGGATTTGTCTGACTGCTTCCTCACGTCCGCAGGCTAGATATAAGGGGTTGTGTTCAGGTTAAACTTTTTTTTTGGCCACAATACTACAATGCTGAAGTCATAGCCTTCTTAGTATTGTCACATTAGGAGGCACAAAATGTCAGTCTGTCCTATTATTGGCAATGCCAAGCCTGATCATTCAGTTAAAGTGCTGCCTACCAGCACTGTAAAGATGTTCTAAGTAATCTGTACAGTGATAGTTTGAGATTGTGTGAAATATCCTATTCCTCACCAAAATATGCCACATTTTAGCATGCATTAATGATTCTTGCACGAATCAAGTGTTATTGTGACGGTTGTAAACTGATGATAGAATTAGGACACTAACTACATTTATTAGTTGTCTTTTCTAAAGAAGAACTTTCCATTGTTCTCTCTACCTCTTTATAATCTTTTTGTACCAGTATGGACTTAGGGATTCTTTTTTCCCTCATTATGCTATAACTTATTCCTGTTATTGCTTTGATGCTCAAGTTGCTTTATATTTGCCGGTAAAAGTCCCAAGAATTTGAATTTTTAACAAACTCACCATATGATCTGTATTCATAGCTAGATTTAGGAACAGAAGATAGAGCCAGTTCCCTTATTTTGCCAGTTCAGGTAATCTACATGGCTTTACCTGAGATCAAATGAGTAAGAATCAGAATTGAACTAAGTATTTTATTATTGGCCTAGTGTTTGTACACCATTATAGGATCACAGGAATGTCATTCCTCTATATATTAAAGGGAGGGGCCTTGAACATTGTGGCAGAGGTTGGTTGCCTGCTCAATGGCCATTTCCCTTTTGTTTTCAGTGGGGGCACTGGAGTGATACCAGATGAGAAAGAGGCCTTTCTTCTGGTTTCAGTATGTTCTCTGCTTGCTGCTGGGGCATACTGCAGACAGCAATGTACAGGACACCTAGTGGTCCTTATCCTGGGGAATTTCAACATTCCTCCCCCACCCCCCTCCAGCTCTGTGAGTGGCTTCCCGTGGAAAGCTTCCCAGCAACTTTTGCCTCACCTAATCTGTCCTCAAAACTGCAACCAAAATCATCTCTTTAAAACACAAATTTAAGATTGACGGTGGTGATGGTCGCACAACAATGTAAATGTACTTAATATCACTGAACTGTATACTTAAAATGGTTAAGATGGTAAATTTTGTTGTATGTATTTTGCCATAATTAAAACACACACACACCCCTACCTAGTTATATGTTTCCCACCCCAACTCTGCAATAGTTTACTCTTGCATAACT